TATATATATATTCCTGAGCTCTGGGCTTCTATGCCCAATTCTATTTGTTACCTCCACTTGGGTGTCTCATAGGCAATCCAGATTCAACATGCCTGAAAAAGACTCCACATCCTTCTCCATACCTGTTCTGATTATCATCAAATGCTGTCTGGTTTACTGCAAGTAGATTTACTGAAAACACATTTCCAATCCATCCCTTCCTAACACTGTAGCTCATCCGCTATCATCTCTCATTTGACTTCCTAACCGATTTCCTGTTAGTGCTTCTGTTCTTGCCAACAATGTTTTCTCCACAGAGCAAAGAGTTATATTTCTAAAATGTAAAACACATGTTATCACTGCCCTGCTCAAAAATCTCCAATGATGTGGGGTGGGGTGAATGGAGAGTGAGTGTTTGGTGAAGACAAAGTTTCAGTTTTGCAAGATGAAAAGAGTTCTGTGGATGGATGGTTGGTGACCCCACAACATTGTGAATGGACTTAATGCCACTGATCTGTATGCTTAAAAATGGTTGTTAAGATGGTCAATTTTATGTTATGTGTATTTTTCAAAAAACACACACATTTGTGCATTTTACATAATTTTTAAAAATCTCTGATGCATGAGTAATGTAATTAGAATAAAACTGGAACCTATTACTCTAGCCTACATGTTCTATATGATGTGGTTTCTCTTCTTTCTCCTACTCATTCTCATTTAGAATGACCTTCCTCTCTCCCAAAAACCACCTAACTCCAGCTGTAATGGCCTTCTAAGTTATTTCATGATCACAGCAAGCTCGCCCCACCTTCAAGTTGTAGACTGGCTACTCCTTTTACTCCCAGATCTTCCATGTCTGACACCCACTGTCATCCAAATTATATAAATTTACAGCCCTATGACTATCTGAAATTCTGTTGATTACTTCTTGTTTACCATTTTACACATTCTTCTTTGCCAATCCCCCAAACTAAGTTCCATGGAAGCAGGAAACTTATCTCAGTGGTTTCACTACATTATCTCCATTGGCTAGCACAATGTTTTTGAACCATTTTTGTAGCAGTGAAACTTCTGAGAATCTGGTAAATCCTATGGGCCCTTCTTAAAACATAATTTTTAAAAACAAAACAAAGCAATTATGTTGAAATACAGTTATCCAAATTCTTTTAAAATTTTGATATAGTAATATATGTCCCTATCTATGAACACATTCTCTTCTTATTTCCTGTGGTGTACTCAAGATCTAGTGGAAACTGAAATCATTCATAAACCATAATAGGAAGTACCTGCAATGTGATATGAAAAGACCTATGTAATGAAATTACAGGTTCTGGTAATACTACTGTGGTTTGTTACCAACATTCAAAATGGAAAGAAATGATAGCTTTCAATTAGAGGTTAGTGAAAATAAAGATGTAACCTGTTTCTAACCCAAGTTCTGTGTTTTATGTAACCAGAAATAATGATAATTTGTATTTAAAATCTTGACTTCCTGCTAACATATGTTTATAATTTATTAATAAGTGTTGTGGGTTAAATTCTGTTCTCCTCCTCCTCCCCCCCAAAGATATGTTGACGTTCCAACTCCTGGTACCTTACAATGTAATCTCATTTGGCAATAGGGTTTTTCTAGAGGTAGTAAGTTAAAATGAGGTCATTAGGTGGCCCCTAATCCAATGTGACTGGTGCTCTTATAAAGTGGGAAATTTTGGAGAATGTACAGATGAAAGATTATGTGAAGCAACATAGGGAGATACCACATGATAATGAAGGCAGAGATCAAGCAGGGTGATGCATCTCTAAGGCCAGGTATGCTGGAGTGCCAGCGAACAACCAGCCCTCAGAAGGAACCAACCAACACAGTGATCTCAAGACTTCTAGCCTCCAGAACGGGCAGACAATACATGTCCGTTGTTAAGAAACCCACTTAGAAGTTCTTTGTTATGGCCACCCTACAAAACAAATGCAGATTTTGCCGTAAGGAAGTGGGGTACTGCTGTAACAAATACCTAAAAATGTGGAAGCAGCTTGGAAGGGGAAAATGGGTTATCTGGAAGAGTCTGAAGATTGGTGATAGGAAAAGGCTAGACTGTTAGAAAAATATGGGTGTTACAGAAGATTTTGGTGGAAGCTCAGGAAGGAAAGAGGAGAGCTGCAGAGAAAGCCTCTATCAACCTTAGACAGTACGCACATTGTCATGTACAGAAATGCTACAAATACAAATGTTAAAGGTGTTTCTGGTGAAGTCTCAGGCAGTACTCAGGACCATGTTATTGGAAACTGGAGGAAAGGTGATCCTTTCTATAAAGTGGCAGAACACTTGGCGGAACTGTGTTCTGCTGGGTAGAGAGTGGAACTTAACAGTTGATGAACTCCAATACTTAGCTGAGATTTCTAAGCAAAGCACTGAAGGCACTGCCTGGTTTCTCCTTGCTGCTTAGAGCAAAATTCAAGAGGAGAGAGAGAAATTGAAGAAGGAATTGTTAAGCAAAAGGGAACCGGAACTTGAATATTTGGAAATTTCAGTCTATCCATATTGTAAAAAAATGAGAGGGGTGTCTGGGTAGCTCAGTCGGTTAAGCATCTGCCTCCGGCTCAGGTCATGATCCCAGGGTCCTGGGATTGAGCCCCATGTCGGGATCCCTGCACAGTGGGGAGTCTGCTTCTCCCTCTCCCTCTGCCCCTCCACCCCATTCATGCCGTCTCTCTCTCTCTCTCAAATAAATTCTCTAAAAAAAATGAGAGAGCATGTTCTAGAGAGGATACTAAGGGTGTGGCCTGTGAATCCAATCAGCTATCTCAGCAGAAATACTGCCACTGACAGTCAGCTTAGACAAAAAGGGGACAGAGATGGGACAAAAGGAAGGAAAGCTATCAGCCTTCTGGGATTCAAGAGGCAGGAAGTAGGCTGCTAGAGCTATTTGGCTGTGAACATGTATTATCCTTCAAGAAAAGGGAAGAATGACTCTAACAGTGCTTTAGAGGCCTGAGAGGCTGCCACTGCCACCGTGGGCCCAGAGGTTTCCTCCTCAGACCTGGAGGCCAGGAAAAGGATGGAGCCCCCAGCGCCTGATGGGTCCAGAGGACACAGTGTCCAGCCACAGAGGATTATTCTCAAGCCTTAAAATTTAGTGAAATTTGCCCTGTTAGGTTTCAGTGAATCTACTTTGCATGTGAGAAGAACATGAATTTTGGGGAGGGCTGGAGGGCAGACTGTCATGGGTTGAAGTATGTTCCCCCAAAAGAG